CGATGCCATCCTCGCAGCTCCCGGCAGCGAGCGGGGAATAAAATCCCGGCGCGGGTCCGTGCCTGGGGCGCAGCGCTGCGGGTGGGGATGGGCGCGGGGCTGCCCGGGTCCCGGCGGCTCCCCCGGGGCGGTGGCGGCGGGCGGCTCCCGCGGCGGCCCCGCGCGGCGGCTCCGCGCGGCGGCGGCGGCGGCTTACCTGCCCTGCTTGGTGATGATCATCTCCGTCTGGTGCCGGTGGAATTTCAGCCAAAGCGGCCTGTTGCACAGGTAGACCTGCGCCTTGCCCGGCACTAGCCCCGGCTGGGCGGAGGAGAACTGGTAGAACGGGGCGCTCTGGTAGGAATGGCCATACTGCTGGGGGTAGGGGTAGCCCGGCGCCGGGTAGCCCTGCGGCGAGGAGTTGGACAGGAGGCTGTTATAGGCGCCGTTGGTGATGACGGGGTGGTGAGCCATGTAGCGGCTGGGGCTGGCGATGGAGAAGGCCGGGTGAGCAGGTCCGTGCTGGCCGGGGTAGGGGAACATGGCACTGGGCGCGGAGGCAGCAGACTGGGGCTGGCTGGACTGAGAGAGCAGATAGCGATCTGCGGCAGATCCATCGAAACTGTGACGAAGCTCGGAGACCCCGTCCAAGACGGGAGAGAGTTTATTTCTCTGGACGTCCCCTGGTGTGTCCTTGGAGTCGGGAAAATTGTCTGTATCTGACTGATTCGTCATCCCCCTGGTAATTTTTTTCAAAGGTGAACTTCTCTCCAGGTTGTCAGTGGTCGAGATAATGGGATGATCATGCAAGGCAAGCTCGGATCCGCCTGCGTGTGGGTAACTGCTGCTCACATTGAGAAATTTCTTGGAGAGCATGATAGAGGGAGAAAGACAATGCTCCAGCTGCATCGCTCTGCACCGCAGCAATAACCCTTCCGTCCCTGGAGCTGAGGGCTGCTCGCTACCAGAAGCGAGACATCCTGGGACCCTCGGTAGGCAGAAAGCACTTCATCCACCAAATGCTTCCCAAACGTTTGATTTACTTTTTTTTTTTTTTTTTTTTTTTTTTTTTTTTTTTTTTTTTTTTTTTTCTTCCCTGGGAGAAGAGATTGGCCAATTGACACTATGCAGCAATCAGGAAAGACTCACTTTTGATCTCGCTGCTTGTGGAGAGGATGAAACGGCTCCTGCCATTGGTTAACCGCTGACAGTAATTTAATTAGATAGACATTAATTAGGATAATCACCTGGCTCCCGGTCGCGACGATCATGGCAAATTGAAGGAGATGATTTTATTGTGAGATAGAAGGAAGGCGAAGGGGGAAGGGAAGACCGTGTTTGCTGTGAGAGCTCGTTATTCTGTGACCTTTCCCGCATTTCTGTTCTTTTTCGACCGCGGCTGGAACGCGGCCTCAACGCCGCGCGCCCCCGCCCCGCCTGCGGGGACGGCCGCCGGGCCCCGGGGCTCGGCCCCGAGTTGGAGAATAGCGAGAACCGTGCAGCCCGGCTGCCCCGACGCGTCCGCCGCGCGTTCACGGGTTCCGTGGAAATAAATATCGGGGCGCCGTAATGCCGGGGATTATCAGCAAAACAACGCGGACGGCGTCCAGCCATCCGTTCTTGCTTCGGGGCTCGCGCCTCTCGCCGCCGTTTCCCCTCGGTGTGACTCAGTCCCGCACGCGGCTCTGCGAGGGGAGGGAGAGCTTCGGTAGCACGTTGCCGGCACGGCTCGGCGCCTCGCGGCAGCGCACGGCCTCCTCCCGCCGGGCCGCGGCCGCAGACCGGAGCCGCCCGAGCCCTCGGGGCGGAGAGGAGGGGGAACCCGGGGAAGGCCGCGGAGGAGGCTCTGGGGCCCCCGGTGCGCCCACTGCCCTCCCTGGGCGAACTGAAGAGCTGTTAAAAGCCCCGCTTGCGTCCGTATTATTATTATTATTGCTCCGGAGGGAAGCACACTCGGTTGATTTTTCTTGCTATTTTCCCCTTAGCGCTTTGGACCCCGGGGATGCCTCCCGCCGTCTCCCCAGTTGACACCAGCTTCCAGTTCCACACCCGGCTAACGCAACCGGGGCCGCCCCACCGCCAGATGCACACCGGCGGCAACTTCGCGCATTCAGCCCGGGGTGTGCCGGCAGCACCGTGACCCATCACAGGGCAGGTTCAGACTCCCACCTCTCGCAGCCATTTGGGAATCGCTCAGCAGCCCGTCCCAGCGGCTGATGTGTCAGAGAAGCTATTCTGCACACTCTGCGTGGAAATTATTCAAACAAAATCATGCATGAAGCAAAAAGCAGGTATTTGCTCACAGTCTGGTGGTATGGCACAGGCAACTTTCTGTACTGTGTCTTCCCCATTTGGTGCTTTATCCCTCTCAGCCCTAATTCTGCCCCTGACCTATCTCACCCACATGCCTGCCTCCGCATTTCTCTGCTCAACCCCAGTGCAAAGGGAATGGGGTTGGGTACATAGGCAGGAGCTATGTTGAAACATAGCTCGACCCCACAAAATGCGGCCTTGAATTGTGCCGCTACCCCCATACATGCGCAGAGCTGCAATGAATTCAGTGGTGTACTGCCAATCACATGGAAGTGTTAATGTATGCCAAAAATCCTCAGTGCACAACTCCTAAACTGGTATAATGGGGAGAGATGCAATGGCAGGTGGTGCTCCAGAACCATCACAGACAGGAGGAGAGGTTCACTGATACAGGTGATGAGGGGTCAGGCTGCTAATGAAGGGCTGTGGCTGCAGGCTCTGAAGGCAGCTGCTCACAGACCTCTTTCCGCTGGGCTGGGTGGCTGCCTTTCAGGTTACTGCACGCACACATGCACTCTTCCAAATCCTCTGTGTAGCTCCTAAAGCACTGGACAAAAAATGAGGAGAGATGCCCCCAAAAACAGCTTTTTGATTATTCATGAAACATCTCAGTAAATGGAAAATCATGCCTCTGCAAGTGAAACCAGGTACTGGATGGAAAGAGTGGCATTGCAGCATAAGCTCATGCTGCAGGGGATCAGCATCTCCAAGACTCTCTTCAGCCACCCTCTATAAAATGTACATGTGTCAAAATAAATTTAGAATGTGCACAAACTACAGGTTTAGCTGCCTACTTGCCCTGGCCTTGCATGCATGTTACATGGAGCACTGCCAAGAGCTCCCCCCATTCTGCAGCACTACGTTACCCCAGCCCCCAGTAGCCGTGTCCCTCTCAATGCAAGGGGGACACACAAGACAAGCGCCTGGCCCTCGTAAGCCTTCTTCAAGGGATGGCCAGAAAGCACTTCCACTGATCTTAACCGCAGGCAAACGTGGTTTGTTGTCTCCATTTTCTGCTGCCTACTGTGGGGGCAGAGGGAAGGCCATAAGGAGGGCAGCTGTAAAAATCTACATGTTTCCATCTGAAGTAAATGCATGCTAAATATACTTTGAGAGAGAGCTACTTGAAAATAGTTAGAAGCCTAAATAAGAAAACAGAAGAATGTTTGAATGATAATGAACAAATAAATAGAAAATTCCTCAGCACCATGTCGGAAATAAGACATAATCTTAAGGTCTATTCGTTTACCATGTAAATAGTCAATTTGCTTAAAATACTTCAAAACAAAACAAAAAGATGTATCTAGGAGTTTTAAAATACTCATCTGCTACAGTTTTTTAACAATTCCAGCAGTTGAAACATTATGAATGAGTGACACAGAAAGAGAACACTTCCACCAGACGAAAGGCTCAAAGCCACCTCATCACCTCCAACACCAAAAATCCAACCAAACTCCCCAGCACCTGCCCAAACCCAGAGGCACCCCCTAAAGCCCAGTACTTTGCTTTGTCTGCCTTAAACTACACAGCCAAACCCACTCGCCCTGTGGGAAGCATTTTCCTCTCCAGTCTGTGGAAAGGGTTTCAAATGTCATATTCCAGCTGGGACTCTTTCCTTATATTTATACATACGGGCACCTCATGTACCTCCTCTTTCACAGGAGGAAAGGTTCCTATAACCTTAGAGCAGCCTCTGCCACTTCAGCGTTTATTCTCAGAATACTGCTATTTATGACACCGCTGGTGAGCGTTGTGTGAATCAGTTATCAGCATAACTGAATGCATTTTCTTAAGGTTAGTTGTCTTCTGTGGATACTACAGTTTGAATACTATTGAAAGAGAGCTGTTAGCATAACTTTCAGCATTTTGGTTTTTCTATAGCCTTGGAATTCAGTGCTAGTACCTTTTTTTTTTTTTAATCTGAAAAAGAATATTTGACAATCAATAGGAGCCAAGTTTCATTAGAAAATTTTTTTTGCTGTCCTAGCAACTACTATCTCAGTAGTGCGACAGTGGGTAGAAATGTGTTTCACCAGCACTTTTTCTACATCATTAATTCCCCCCACTATTTCACAAAGAAGATCTTCCAGAACTTAAGACAGGCTTGTAAATGTATTTTTATTATGTTGCAACAATCAAAATATATATGTACTACTGATTTTTTTTCCCCCAAATATCAAATGAAAATTTAATACACTTTTGCCCACACTGTGTTCTTAAATTGCTTTGGAATCTGTAAAGACCCTGATGTAAGGAAACTGAAGCAACTGCACAGTTAGAGACTGGAGGGTGTTAGAGAGCTGCTTAGACTTAGACTGCAAATGAAGTCAGATGTCCCTGTTTAACCAAATATTGCCTCAACAGTCTCTGTTTGTGAGTATTAGAAACAATAAACAAATATACACAGAAAGCATCACAAACAGGAAATGGGTTATTTAAATACAACTGTATCCAACATAGCAGCTAAACACTGGACAATATTTGAAGTCATCAGCACATCCACATGCTCTTCTAAATGACGTTTGGGGTCCTGAAACACAAAAGATGCCATAAGAGAAATGAGTAAAATGTCTCCATGAATACTTGTAATTACATCATTTCTATGCAAAACCACTGCAAGTTTAAGAGGCTGGTGATGCTCCAGAATGTTGTTTTCTAATTAGACTTATCATATAGAAATTCAGAAATTGCTTAGTCCATACCATCACTCAGAGAAATTGAGAATCAGTTTAGGGACTGCATTTCTATACAGCCTCTGAAGAGTACCACAACAGCTGTGAGTTTTAAAAACAAAATACTACATGAGGAATTTACCTCAGTTTCAATTTGTTTTCAGATATTTGTGCAAAAGTGCAACCTAGTCCTGTAAAATCTTTGAGCAGTTGTAGGACCATGAGAAAATCAGCACACAAATGCCCACAAAAAATAAACACAAGTGCACAACAAGGTGTCCAAAGTTCTGAAAAATGCAATGTTAAACCTAAGGAGCATTCTCAAAATACCCATCCCTCCAGGCTATTGCTCAAAGGAGTGGGCACTTCTGGGCATTCACATAGAATAATTTGATTATTTGGGGGTTCAACATTTGGCCACATTCATAAACTTTTTCAGAAATGAAATTAATTAATATGAAAGTGCCACAACATTATCTGGCACATTTTAAAAACTTTATTTTTAGTATTTTATTTACATTGCAGCATTTTCACCTTCTTGTGCATAAAGAAAATATGGAAGGCAATCACATGTAGGAATTTTAACTTGTACTTAAAAAGAATTACTGTCAAAATCTAATGAACTAATTCAACTTACATAAGTATGAACTAGAAAATCAGTGTAAAGAATGCCATAAAACATATGGTATCTTTCTTTAAACAATTCAAAGATCACGTAGTTCTCCAATATTCTCTGTTCCAAGTAACCTGACAAACCTATTGTGAGCAGCTGTCTGTTTACAAAATTTTCTATATAAGTTGCAGAGAAATAAAAACACGTGAAAATTACTTAGTAATTTTATCAGGAAAAATGGCTTTTCTTTAGAAAGAACTTAATCAAAACATATTTTTTTCCCCTCATAATGATTTAAAAGATGAGTGAAG